TGGACAAGCTGTACTTATTTCAATTTTAAATTCTTTAGCTTTTCTCCATTCTTTAATGCAGTTTAAACAATAACAATGATTACAGTTTGGCAAAATACCAAACGTTTGTTCGTTTGGTAACTTTTCCATTATTTTTTCAAAACAGATGCCGCAAGACATTTCTTTGCTACGTTGAATATCAGAAGGATCGAATGCTTGAACTGATGGATTTAAAACTTGAGCATATGGAATAGGTTTGGATGTACTAGTTGATGTTCCTGAAGTATTAAACAATTCGTTGTTGGATGTAGAAGAACCAGCAACTGATGAGACAGTCGATGATAAAAAATCAGAAGCTTTAACCAATTTTTCATCCACATGAATACTACTCATGCTGCAAACACAAATAATTCTAGTATTATTATTTTCGAATGGCAAAAAACTATTTCAAAAAAATATATTTTCTAAACATATTGAAAGATATTCTCCATATTAACACTTTGTCGTCCGTACGTTTCGTAAAAATTTTTTCACTTTAAGATGGCAGCAGTAATTCGGATTACTTCGCTCCTCACCAGCCGTTTTTAAGGGCCATTACTAGTGTAAAATTTTGTAAAAAAAATCGATTTTTATGTTTGTATATTTCTAAAGTCTACACCATTAAAAATAACATACTAAAATCTCACGTTGGCAGCCGAAAGTCGAAACGAGAAGTAAGCGGTCGGCAAAGTGTTAACAGATTCAACGATACGTCAATCAATAGTGGTTGACAGCAGACTTTATGTTCAAGTTGCGTAAGTCACCAATGACTGATCTTCCTTTGTATATCTTTGCCTAACGGATTATCATGGTCAGAAAAAAGTGAAACAAAATAGGTCCCGTACTAAACATGTTAAACGTATACAATTATTATCAATCAGATACTAAGATTTGCGATTTATTATCTGAGAGATAAAATCAAAGATTATTTTTGAAATACAATTGTTACATAAGTGAGTATAGGTTACATACGTATTTTTTAACTGCATTGAAGCTGCAGTAGGGACAGTATGTTTCTTTATCGAAGAACTCTCTTGTAAATTGTCTTGTATACATGCGTCATTAGCAGGTTCAGAGTCATGACGAAAATTACACGCACTATCATACTTGCATGTGCCAATTAAGAAAAAGCGACAAGAAGTATTGGATGGTAATATCTCTGCTTCAGAAGTTCCTGATTGATGGCGAGTAGATTCAACATGAAGAAATTGGCTATTACATCCTCCACAGCAGCAGCCTTTTCCACAAAACCTAAATGTAACATAAATACAAGTTGAGATTTATTCTATATTAGTATGATARTGAAATCATTAAAATTTAATACTTTGACACACTATTTTTTATTTTCTAAGTTTATTTAAGTATTTAATTAAAATCTAAAAGTATAGATTTTTTCTAACTAATAAAAAAAATATATATTTRTTAGCATTAGAAAAACGGACATTTCGTCATTAACATAAACTGATATCAAAGTATTCATATATTAGTTAAATTTAACTGATTTTAATTACTCGGTTGTAAACAGTTAAAGGAATTTTATATATATATATATATATTATGGTGGGTCAAAAAAATCAATTATTTTTTTTTTCTACAAGTGCTACGGAAAAATAGGTTGCTAGGCACCTTAAAAAAATTCTCACCAAATATGAGCTCTTAATTATAATAGGAAGATCCTCCGCATCGCAGTTTTTTATTTTTTTCTCAGTCCAATAGA